GCCCTCCATGAAGGGGAGACGAGAGAACCACAGTCGTGGGTCTGGTGTTTTCAGCTCTGTGGAGGGAGTGTTGATTGAGCCCTCTAGTCCACAGTTCCTGAAGGAAGATTTATTCCCGGCCTGAAGTTTCCGCCCGAAGATCTATCGCCGATTCGCGACTGGTGGGAAAAGGTGAGGCATCCGGGGACATTTTCCTGCCGGTTTGCTTCAAATCAACCTTACTCTTTCCAGAATGAAGAGCAAGCAGAACAGCTTCTCAGACAGGACCGCTGAGCAGAACTCCAGACAAATTAGATTAAGGAGGGAGAAAGATCTGCTGAGGTGAGATAAAAGATTTTTTTTTTTACGCTTTCACAATTTCAGGATTGCTGCGCAAGGCCTGTTGCAGAGAGACGTCCATCCAAGAGGTCCTCAAAAGTCCAATTGTCCATTCTGAAGCTGGCCTGACTGAGACCATCTTTGGGGCTTCCGTGTTGTTGCAGTGGAGATGAGATATTAGCACCAGATGCTTCCATGCTGCCACATTCTTCAGCGTGGGAAGATTGGGGGGGGGGAATTGCATGGACCATATGTGGTTAGACATAATATCATTTTTCTTTCAAATCAAGGTCATGTTATTTCTGCACCTGGGTGAGAGCATGTCTCAAGTTGTGACGGATGGTGATTGGGGCATGTGATGGAATGAGGGGTGCAGGGGGTGGATTTGTCATTTTTACTTATTGGTGGGCAACCCGGAACTTTCAGATTCGGGTTTTCCCAGATGTGTCACTACTCAAATAAAAAGGAAACTTTTGAGAAAATGCCTGTCTCAGGGTTTTTAATTGGAGTTGGGTTTTTCTGCAAGGTTGACAGAGGTGCGGGTTTTGTAGCCAGAACAAAATAGTTTTTTGTTTTTTTTCTGGGAACCAAGGACATTCCCATAGGTGGCTGAAGAGAGGAGGGGTGATGTCACCAGGCAACCAGACAGCGTCTTGATTGGACCATGTGACTGGTTGTTTGAGAAAGGGGGAATGACTTTAATTGGTGAAAACCGCGGGAACCTTCAGAATCGGTTTTCACCAGTCTGTGTGCCAAAATCTTAAGTCCAATCAACCTGTTCTTTGAGGTATCTGCTTGCCTCGGAGTTCGGTTTGCTTTGGGTGTATTACTTGGAACCCTGACACCAATCTTTTATGAATGTGTTCTATCTCTTTCGGACAACCTTGTCTGATCAAAGGCCGAGCAAGATCAGACCTGATTTAAATAAGGGATGGAATCTGAACAAGGAGAGATTCAACCTGGAAATAAGGAGAAACTTTCTGACAGGGAGAACCATCAACCCGTGGAACAGAAGTTGCCCTCGGAAGTTGTGGGAGCGCCATCACTTGAGACTTTCAAGAAGAGATTGGACTCTCATCTGTCAGAAATGGTGTAGGGGTCTCATGCTTGGGCAGGGGGTTGGACTAGATGACCTACAAGGTCCCTTCCAACTCTGATTATCTGTTATCTGTTAAACTTGGATGGGAAAAACCAGGAAACCCTAAGAGCTTCTAGGCTAGACTGGGAAAAAGGCAATGGCTGACTATCTCCATAGGTTTGCCAGGAAAGCTATGTGGATGGGGGTTGGGAAGCACCCAGCCTGGCAGGGAGAAAGGGTCAAGTAAGGAATTAGCCTGGAGTCATTGCACAATTGCAAAAGCACCAGGTCCAAACAGCCTTAAGTTCATCCGTCCATTTGTAGGATTGATATGCCACCTACTTGCCCTCAGTAATTGTCGGCGGCTTATAACCAATAAAACCCCTCACACATATACTGTGATGACCCAGGGTGGGACACAAAACAAACGCAGTCACAAAAAAACAAGTGAAGCCCCTTTTATTCCTTCACTTTGCTTCCAAGCTCCGAATATCTTTGACGGAAGACAAAAAAAAAACCTCCCATACAGTTACACGAAGAAGGAAAGAAGCAACACAAACCAGGCAAGATGAGGGCTGGAGGACATCCACGGATAACACACACTGGAAAGGATGCCAAACTCAGAGAGGAACAATAAACTAGAGATATTTCCATGCTTTGTTTCCAGTACGCAGGTCCAAACTCTTATTCAGTTGTCACACCTGCAGCCCATGAAGGGGATCAAGGCCCTCTCCTCCTGAGTAGACCAGTTTCTCCCTTATCCTCTCCTCCCTGCGTGCCCTAGGATGGAGAGGGGGTGGGCCTGGGTCCTCCTCTGACTGCCCAGCTGGTCTCTGCCCTTCCCCAGCCTCCTCCACAACCTCCGGAGCCACATTTCCACTCCCTGTCGGCTGTTCCTCCTCTCCCTCTGAGTCAGTCTCCACCAGGACAACATTCAATCAAAGGAGCCACTTCATGGGCTCCATCCCACTCTGCATTCCCCAGGCCCCCTGGCAGAACTCGGCCTTCAAAGCCTTGCAAAAAAGTGCCAGAGTAGGATCCAGTCTAATCTCTGCAGGATGATGTTTGGAAGGGAGGGAGTGTTCTGACTCAAACCTTGTTCCAAGGAAACAAACACCAAACGGAGGGAACAGCAAAACCTTTGAATGATTCTTTACGAATTCCTTCCCGTTTAAAAGGCTGTTTCAAACTACTTGTCTCGGATAAGAACGAGCCTTGCCAAGGTGGGGCAAGGCTGCCAAGAACACCAGATAACGTTACTAAGAAATATTTCAAACACAAAGCGTCTCCAAACACCAACCAAGATATCCCGAATGTCCACAAGGCTTGAGTGCAAAAACTTATTTGCTTCCTGCAAAGAACTCCGGTTTCTCAGCTGGCTTTTATCTCTTAAGGGAGGGGCCATTACTTTGCAGCCTTACTCCCGAGTTGCCTGTGCTGCTGCAGCTGCTCTTTCCTTCGAGCAGTCCTGCGTGCACGCGCACTGGGCACAGGCTCCTCGGGGGCCTCTTCCTCACTGCTGCCAGCCTCCACAATCTCCAAAGGCAGCACTCCACTCCCTGATGGTCCTGGCCCCATCATCTGAGTCCTCGCTCTCCGAGACCTCAGCCATCCGCACCTGATGTCGGCGAACCACAACAGGGAGCCACCATTGAGAAGGCCCTTCATCTGGATTCTGCCAAATGTACTTCCTTCAGGGATGGAACCAGGGGTGGGATTCTACAGGTTCGCACCTATTCGCTAGAACCGGTTGTTAACATTCTAAGCAGTTTGGAGAACCGGTTGTTAGAAGAAATTACTGGCCTAATCCTGTAAGGAAGGCAGGAAGGAAACATTCTGGGGTTGCTTACAGAAACTGCCACTCCGTTAACCCTTATTACATTCTTGGCAGGACTAGACTTCCTGTCTCAGGAACTTCTCTGGAGTTTTTTCCCCCTCCTTTGCTGGTACTTTGCTTGTGTGGAGTAACCATTCAATGTTACAATGGCACTGAAAAAAGTGACTTATGACCGTTTTTCACACTTACGACTGTTGCGGCATCCCCACAATCACGAGAGGCCAGGCGAGGAGATGTGTGCCTCGATGTGAGTGATATTGAGTTGGCCACGTCCAGCCAATAACATGACCACCAAGCCACGCCCACCAACTAAGCCACGCCCACAGAACCAGTTGTTAAAAAAGTTGAATCCCACCCCTGGATGGAACCCACAACATTCCTTGCCTCCCCACTCTAATGGCTGGGGTGGATGTGACTGGTCGCTCAGATAACCTGATCCCAAGCCATGGAGGACTTTAAAGGTGACAATCAGCACTCTGAATGTCTATGGAGTTTGTCAGCCATCCAGATCATGGTTGTCCCAAAGGTGCTTTTTTCAAGAGGCAACTGGACTTTCTGGGTTTTCTCTGAAGATGTTTCACTTCTCATCCAAGAAGCTTCTTCAGCTCTGACTATGACAAAAATGCTTACAAACCATCGGCATAGACAAAATCCTTATCAGTTAATTGCAAAAAGTGGCTTTACTTGGGAACGTATACATCCTGAGATAAGACCTTTAACACCATCACATATTCACCTTGGGAAAGACTCTATGGGTGCATAAAAAGGCTCTAAACATCTGGGTGACTGTGAGACATAATAATAATAATAATAAACAGTGGGCCACTTGGTTAGCTGCCACCGGAAGATTGCCCCGACTGACTACAAGCAACGGCGTGACAAAGTAGCAACAAATGGAACATTGGAAGATCTACAAGAGATGCCATTGGTTGCAAGCAAGAACTGGTGGGACCATAAAATGAGGGAAGTCGTAGAAAAGGAAGGAGTTAATTTGCTCTGGGACTTTAGAATTCAGACAGACAGACAACCACCTGCCACGTAACACCCGGGACTTAACAACTGTCGATAAGAAAGCCCCAAAAAGTCTGAATAGTGGATGTGGCAGGACCTGGAAACCACATAATAACAGAAAATATAAAGGCCTGCAAATAGAAGTAGAACAACGGTGGCAAAAGAAAGCAACCGGAGCACCAATAGTGATAGGCGCTTTGGGTGCAATCCCAAAAAACCTGGAGCACCACTGGAACACCTTTGGCAATTGACAGGCTGCAAAAGGCAGCTGCAAAAAAAAAACAGCTGCAAAAGGCAGCTTCACTTGGAAAAGCTGGAGACCTTTAACACCATCCAACATTCACACCTGCCTATCCCAGGTCCCTGGGAAGGGCTCGAGAGGTGGATAAGAATGTCAAATTCAGTTTAAACTCTGACTTTACAACGAACCGTTAAGAATAGAGCCCTATTCAAACAGCATCGGCGTTGACAAAATCCCCATCGGCCAATTGCAGAAGGCAGCTTTAGTTGGAACAGTTTACATCTGAACACAACTGATAATCTTTAACACCATCCAAGAACACAACAATATTAATCTTTCGGCACTTGACTTTGTTGCGGGAATTATTGAAATGATGTGCGTAGTTGGGGAATATGATGGTCTTAGAGCCCGCTGGGTTCTTCCTTGCTCTCACTTGTACCACTAAGGTCCCTCTTGCCTTCTTCACCTGCTGGAATCCCAGGGTTTATCCCACGCCGGGGGGGGGGCCCTCTTACCTTCCCGTCGGTGGTTACAGCCGCAAAGACGGTGGAGGAATAAGGCGCCCAAGCCACGTCGCCAACTGCAGAATTCAGGTCGTAGATAAACATGGGTGTCCTGCAGACAGAAGAGGCGACAGGTCAAGTGGAGCTGCAGGATTTTCTCTTTGCCCAAGGAGGGGAAAGCTCTCGTAGGACCAGGGGAAGTCCGAATACGGATGGCCCTGGCTAAAAACTAGGTCAGGCACCCAGGGAAAGCTGGTTGTAGAGAGAAAGCAGAAAGCAAAGCAGGAAAGTTACAACTCGGGAGATGTTTTCTAGAAACTAAAGCCATCAAGAAGCACCACCGAGAAGTTCCCTAAAAGGAGAACAAGATCCCCAGAAATCAAGATCAAGGGAGGCACTAATACCACACTCTATAAAGCTGGCCCACCCCTGTGGAGGAGCTCCAGCTATGACCATGGTTTTGTGGTTGGTCCAAGATGTGTAGTGTTGTGGCCCTCTAGCTGCCAGCAGAGCTGGGGGAGGAATCGGACTACGAGGAGGTTGGGGAGGATCTTGGGCCAGTGCTGGAGCCTGATGGCTGCTCTGCATTGGACACAGAGATAGAGCCAGGGCCATCGGACATTTCCCAGCCACCGGAGAGGCAGCTGCCTTCGGAGGTTGCGATGAGTGAGGAGGAAGAATAGCTGGGGCCTGTTGCAGACGCACGTATGCACACAGCTGTTAGGAGAGGGGAACAACGGAGGACAATGAGCTGGCTCGGGAAGCAAAGCACACACTTGGATGGCCCCTCCCTGGCTGGGGAATAAATAGGAGGAAAGGTGAGGGGCTGTCATAGGAAACAACAGTTTGTCTTTCTGAAGATTTTGCTCATTATGTTTCGTGCCATAAAGGCTGCTTGGCCTAGCCATGATCGCAAGGAACCGATAAGGTCTGTTACTGCCGTTAACTCAAGAAGAGGTTGGACTGCCATTTGTCAGAAATGGTGTAGGGTCTCCTGCTTGGGTGGGGGGGTTGGACTAGATGACTTACAAGGTCCCTTCCAACTCTGATGATCTGTTATCTGTTTAAGGACTCTTGCCTGGACCTTTCGGTGGGTGAATGCCATTCATTCACAAAAGGTAAATAAAGAAGGGGGTTTTCGTGACAAGGAATCTGTTTCTTGCTTCTGCTAAGGCTGGGTCAGAACATGTTGTCCATGTCAACTCCTAAAATATCTCTCTGGTCTTTTTAGAGTTGCCAACAGAAAGGGACGGGGGAGCAGTGCAGCAGCTTGGAAACCGAAACTGCATTCCATCAATGTTTTCAAAGATAGTAACTAGATAACCGAAGTTTCTGCCTTGCAAAATTCTAACTGGAGAGCATGACTGATGACTCTGGGCTATGGAGGTGTCCCATTGGAGAATATGAATTAT